GCACCTCCTCCAACAAGGTCACACCCCCTAATCCTTCCCCAAACAGTTCCACCAACTAGAGTCTAAGCATTCAATATATGAGCCCATGGGAGCCAGTCCCATTCAAATCACCACAGTGCGCATTTAAAATACCCACAAAGATTGAATATATATAGAAATGCCTTTATTTTTCATTTTAATTTTTAAGATGTTCATACATGAATATAATGCATTTGCAACACTTCTATCCCTCCCTCTGTCCACCCGGCTCTTACTGTGTGCCCCCCCCCAGAACTCCCTAGCTCAAATTCATGACACACACACACAAATAAAATCTATTGAGCCCAATTAGTGTTGCCCGTATATACTTAGGCAGGAGTACCCTAACGGGATCTTTCTTCCTCCCCAGCAGCTGTGGCTCTTCATCTGGGGGAGGCCTTGTGACCTTTCTCAACCTGTGTTGGTGTGTGACTGGTGTGTTGGGGGTTTGTGGGTGCAGCTCCCCTGTTGTGCCCGGAAGACACCTTCTCAAAGCAGCTCTTACAGTCAGTCTTTCCTCCTCTCCCATGATATTCCCTGAGCCTTGGGTGTGGGTGTGTGGGTGTTACCCATGGCCGATTTGAGGCTGGGCTCTTTATCATTGCTTACTCTTAACCAACTGCCTCCATCAGACGTAGAAAGAAACTTATTTGATGAGGGGTGAGAGCTGCACTTTACCTAGAGACATGACAAACACTCCATTGAGATGAGGCACAAAACCCTGGCAAGTGTGGCTGCCTGGCCCCGATGGCCTTCAGTCAGAGCTGCAGACAAGTGCTCTGCACCTTGGTGTCTCAATCCCCTGTTCTGTTTGGTTTTTTCGAGACAGGGTTTCTCTGTAGCTTTGGAGCCTGTCCTAGAATTTGCTCTGTAGACCAGGCCAGCCTCCAAGTCACAGAGATCCACCTGTCTCTGCCTCCTGAGTTCTGAGATTAAAGGTGTACACCAGCACTGCCCGGCTCAATTCCCTATTGTTCAATCTAGAAATGCTAACAGGACCTGCTTGTTAGTATTTCACTATTTTGAAGACAAACAGGGGGGAAAAACCTGAAGAAAAATATCTGTTACTTCATAGGCATTACTTAAAATTTTTCAGTTTTGTGTCTGGAAGAATGAACAGGACCCGGTGTCATGGTGACTTCCCAAGAGGCCATTCAGTCCCAGCTCTAGGGAGGCTAGAACCTTACTGGAGGCCTGTAGAGGTCTCCTGGAATAGCCACATGATGCAGGGTGTGGCAATGAGGGACTGTGGCTGCTGCTACCTTATGACTGAGTGCGCTGCAACTTAGACTGAGTAGATTTCCCAAAGCACGTCACAGAGCAGTGATGTCTGCAAGGCAGGGCACAGAAACCTGTTAGTTCCATGAAGGCAGAGACTCCTGACCCTCTGAGATCTCTAGGTCATGCCCTGGGTAGCAAACCTAGGCCTTATCATCTTTCCAAATCCTCCTGCCTCAAGATGGTGACAGGGAATAGATTGGTTTCCTGGAAAAGGAACCCAGCCTGAATCCTGAGTCAACTGTTGGCTATTTCACCCTCTGAACTGAGAGGATGCCTTTCTTCTAGATGAAGCCCCACTGAACACCCAGGGGGCCCCCTGAGCCCACTGCCCTCCAGCACCACCCTGAGGCCCAGTGGTCTGCTGGACTGCCAACTGGCTCAGAACTCAGGGCATTCCAAACCAACCGCCTACACGGCAGTTGCATAGGTAATTAGCCTCTCCCTAACTGACCTTATCTGAAGACAAGCACTTAAGCACTAAGAAGCAGGAAGGTGGCTGCTTGGCTTCAGACGTCTCAGGGAAAGTCTTTGGGCTCCCAGGGTCTTTGCTGATTAAAGTCTGGCCAGGCTTAGACCTGCCAGCAACATACCCACTCCTTGCTGTCTGACTCACAATCTCAGCATTGATATGCAAATATCAGCCATTGTCACAGCCTCTGCAAGACTTCCAGAGAGTGGAGGGGCAGTGTCCAATCTCTATGGTATTTTCCAGATGCCCCTAGGAGGCTGCAGGCCCTGCTGCACAGATGGTAGCTTTTCTAGACTGGGAACAGTTTCTGGTGTGTCTTATGTTTAAATGTCTTTGCTTCTTAATCCACAGTCTTAGCAGACAGAGTCGAAAGGGGTGACTGTCAACACACTGGTGGCAGAAAGCCATAAAGAAGTATCTTTTCCAGGTTCCTGATTCTCTTCCTGACCTTAGGCATGTAGAGGAGCATGCGTAGTGGGTCCAGATGCTGGCTAGGCTGTACTCAGGTCCCATATGAGCCATGTGACACAGGGAAGACACTTCACCTTCTGTCTTCAGTTCCTGCTCTGTGATACTGGAATGTTCTTAGGGCCTGCTTCCTAGGGCTATGTTGTGAGGTGTGGTATAAACCGCAGACGAAGCCTGAGGAAGAATGACTGCTGCATTTGTGCTGCGCCTAAGCTGGAGGCATCACGGGCCCAGAGCACGGGGGCGGGGGGGGGGCAGATTGGGGGATGGGAGGAAGATGTCACACGGAAGATATGTCACCATCCAGGGTTCCTGTGGGTCTGGTACCTTGTAGCTGTGCAGAGGATCTGTTATCACCACAGTGACCCTTCGGGGAGAATTATGAGTTGAGCAGTGGTTGTGCCCACTGTTACAGCTGGACAGGGGGTGATAGGCCCAAGAAGTGAAGCGCTGGTTCAGGCGAGGGCCTCCTTCGTCAGCCCCAGGCTATAGGAGATAGTAGATGTCCTGTATGAGGCCTGAGCCAAGAGGAGGGCAGTAGCTGGCCCAGACCAAGTCCGGGTCAATCCTGACCAAACAAGCTATGCCGTTTCCACTTTGCAGAGAGCAGGGCAGCCCACCCCGGGTCTCTCTTCCCCAGCATCTTTACCTACCAGCTTCCTCCTGGAGGTCAGATGACTACCTGAGGAACTAGCGGTTCCTCTGACTCCAAAGTGGCTCAGAGTGCTATTGCAGGGAATAAGCTTGGTTTTAGCTGGCCAGCCCTGGATGAACTGTTACTGCTAATTATGAGGGACAAAGAGGCCCAATTGCCCCATGTCACAGAGGCCACTAGAGGAAGCTGGCATGTACCCACATGTGGTCACTGCTGGTCTGACAGCAGGTGGAGGAAGACCTGGCTGAGAACAGACAGCATCTGTACCCACTACGCATGCTCCTTCCCAACCTCCTCCGTCTTCAGCAGAACCTGCTTCTACAGTCTGTCCACCAACCCAGACGCTGTGGTCCAGGGCTGAAGACTTCACCCCTCTTGAGAGCCCCTGGACAGCCGCTGTACCAGAAAGCCCTCCTTACAGACAGATTACCTAGGCCCTGCTACAGCCAAAGGCCCACTGTTCCTCCTCCTCCTCCTCACTCCCAGCAGTGCCCAACAGAGGGATCATGTTCTCATCAGCCCCATGTGCATCCTACCCTGGAATCCTAAGCTCCTTTGCTTTCCAAACATCTCTGATAGATCCTCAATGGTTGCCATCAGGTTTGGCAAATCTGGTCAGGCACATTTGATCTGTAATTCACCAGTGTGGCAATGTTTTCCCCCTCAGATCCATGCATCATTCTGCCTGAAATATTGGGTAGAATTCAGATGTAGCTCTCTGGCATGAAGCATGTTTCATTGAAACATGCACCTTTCTGTTTTAATCGATGCTTATTATTTCATAGTATGACTACATATGGAATATGGGCCCCTAGAAATTTTCACTCCTGGTGCCAACACTCTGGGGCAGCATAGTGATCTAGCTCAGTCACAATGGCAGCCTCATAATGACTAATTTGAAAGGTTACAAGAGTGAGTTACGACATGCGCATTCTGAACAAGAATGGGCGTGGCAGTTCGCTTGGGACAAGAGGCTGAGTTCCATGTTTCCCAGGGATTTCTGCTGTGGAGCTGAGATGCCAAAGCTTTGCAACTGTGCTTATAAGATTCACTAAAGTCTACCTTGTGTGGGCTGCTTGTACTTTGATATGTTTATTTATTTTCAACAACAGTAGATACTTCTGGTTTAAGATTAAAACCTCCAATTTGATGTAATTTCTGAAACTAAATCTCTACAGTTACAAAGTAAATGATCATGGCCTGTGTCCTCTGACCTCAGGCTTGATGTGAATGTCACTGCCCCTCCATGCGGTGCTCTGAGCGCCTTTAACACAGACACAGGATCTGGTCACTGGAGGACAGAGACGCAGGGCACCTTGTGGGGAAGCTGTGTAGGACTCCAGGCCTCCTCAGCCCTAGGAGGTGACCTTGGACACCAAGGCCAGACTTCTTTTTTTCCAATAAGGACTGTTAAGTTTAGGGAAAGGACTGTTTCAGACAAAAGGTTCAGAGCTGACAGCTAAAAGCTTCACCCCATGGGGGCACAGGACATTCTTTTACTCTTGGAGATAATGCAGAAGTTGGGGGGGGTTGTGCCTGGAGGAAGGAGGCCCAAGGTCTGCTGACATCATCTAACTAGACTGACGTCACTATTCTGTGGCCCTGGCTGGGCCAGTTGTTTAGTAATTTGTTAGGCCATTTCTGGGTAAATATGTGGGGAATTCCACAAAACAGTGGGCCTAATTAATGGAAGTTTTCTTCCCTGCCAGTAACCATCTCTGTTTAGGGTTTTGCCACCTGGAAGGCCTGTTTCCAGGATGGAAAGCGCCCCCCTTAGGCAACATGATAAACAGTCTCTCAGGAACGCACCTCCCTAGCCTCCATCGGGGTGGGCTACTCCAATGACAGAACCTGACACAGCTGGAAGAGGGTTTTACAGCCTTGGGATGGAAAACGCTTGGCTCCATCAGGCCCTCTGAGGAGCAAGGGCTCTGCTGACCATGGTGGAGCCATGCCCTGCACTGTGAACATGGACAGCTTCCAGGAGCGCTTTCCTTTTTCTGAAAATAATGACTTTCTCTATTGCCACCAAACCATATCTGTGCCTTTCAATAGAAACACTTATGCTGTGATAGTTTAAAAATATATACATATCTTCAAGGATCTTAGTATAGTGCAAAAATGCTATTTAAAGTAGAATAAATCTAAGTACACTTATATCAACACACAAAAAATGAAAGGAACAGACATAATTCATGGTCCTGCCCTCAACATGGAGCTGAAGCTGCCATGGTTTCACTTTGATGGCTTGTGTGTGCTTTGTTTATTACATATGAAAAGTCTGTAGAAGCCCGGTTCCTTCAGTGCCACGAGGTCTCCCCAGGGTCATATAGGCCCCATTGAGGCTAAGGACCTGGAGCTTACACTCGTCCCAGCTGTCTGGGATACTGCAGTGGCCCTCTCTGGGTCACTGAATGGCTCAGCACCCATGGGGATTGCTATGCTGGAGCAAGTGGGCTGTCTTTCTCGCATGAAAGGAACCTTGGTGCCTCTCTCCACTCTGATTTCCCCAAGTAGCCTGAGAGGAGCTGGTCATGGCCACCTCAGCACTGCTCAGCACAGTGGCAAGGGGTGGGCTTGCAACCCTTCTTCCTTCTATCCATGTCCGTTGACGTCCTCACTGCTCTCTGTGAATTCAAAAGAGAACAGTGATGATGAGTGCCTAGAGTCCCAGTGCAGGGGAAGTAGGGTGGGACTGGGTGTGCCCAGAGCCCCCAACTGTTGAAACTCATAGCCTAGTTCCTCAGGATTGCTCAGCACCTTTGTTCAATAAACAGAGAGCCTAGGGAGAGGTTCTGGAGGTCCACTGGACCTCAGCTGTGTGGATGAGCCTGGGAGCTCTAGGAGGACACTCATGAAAGTGCAGAGGGCCTGGGGAGGTGCTGAGACAGGAGGCCGAGAGGGAAGGGGCCAAAGCGGAAGCAATTACATGTGGGTTGCTGCTCTTTCTTCGATGTTCACAAGTCACCTTCCGGTGGTGAGGAGCAGTGACACTGGTGGGGAAGCCACAGGAAACGAGTGTTTAGTTGTGGTGATTATCTTGGGTCACCCTAAAAGTTTAATACTCATACCAACTCTGTGCGTTTGGAGGCATTAGACATAACGAACCCAAGGCTAGAGGTGTCATGACTTGTCATGAAGCCATGACAGTTGGTGCTGGAGTTTGCATTGATAGACTGGAAGTGGGGTGCATCTGACAGCTTGGTAGCACTGTGCTTGGCAGTGGGTCACAGAGGATAGGAAACCTCTGACCCTGCTCCCCAGAGGCCAGTGGCTGCCCTTCCCACACCTTTTCTGGGATCCTGCCTGGCCACAGAGGGATTCTGGGCAAGATGAACACAGTCCTCATATAAGCCAGCAAGTTGAGATAAGGTTGGGCAAGTTGTGGAGGCCAACATGAGCTCACCTATGCATCTCTGTCATGGATCGCCCAAGGATTCTGGGGCACACACAGAGATCTCAAGACAGACCTTCTTGTCCTCACTGGTTCTATATGATCCAGAGAAGGAGGATTAAATATATAGGAAGCAAAGGAAAAGATACATGCCAGGAATGGCTAGACAGATGGGTGACAGATAAATAGGGGGAAAAAACCTTAAACAGGGTGCTTAAATCATCCAGGAAAACCAACTTGTGAAGTTGAGGCAGTCAGCTGGAGTTCCTGGATAAGCCTTCTCTCCATGGCTGAACTTCCAACTCTCCACCCCTCCTTCCCACTGCAGGCATTTTTTGTTTGTTTGTTTGTTTGTCTTGTTTTATTGAGACAGAGTTTCTCTGTGTAGCCCTAGCTGTCCTGGAACTCACTCTGTAGATCAGGCTGGCCCTGAGCTCAGAGATCTACCTACATCTGCCTCCCAAGTACTGGGATAAAAGGTGTGTGTCATGAGACAAACAGTAGTAACTTATGTTGGAAATGGTTCACCTTCTAGCTATTTTCAAGGACAAGTGTGTTTCTTTTGGAGCTGTTCTGCTGTTCTCTGCTCCCTGTCACAGGGCATCCTCAGACAAAGGACTCTGGAGGAGAATTGGAGGCAAATGTGCTTAGGTCTGAAATGAGGGGGGCACCTTGGCTTTCAAAGCCAGCTTTTCAGTGAGTTTAAGCAACACATAACAATTCAGCAATATCCAGTACAGTGTAGTGTACCACTCAGGCCTGGCATGCTCTGGAACTGAGAAGTGCTGAGAATGGGAAGAGAGGGGTCCGCTTCCCCTCTCCACTTGGCACATGCTGTCAGCAGGCCCAAGTTTGTGCCTATGAGCAAACCCTGCCCCTAGCAGACTCCTCTCATAGGTCAATACCCCAAACCCAGTTGTCCCTCTCTTGTGCAGAGTTCCCAGGGGGTTCAGAGCAGCACAGCTCGAGGCAAAGGTGGGAAAGATAATGGCCTCCCGGAAAAACCACCTTTAAACACCAGACAGAGGAAAGACGGCTGCACAGCCAGCGCCAGCTCACTCCATGCCAGAGGTTGTTAGAATACGCAGATGACAAGCAAACTCCTGCGTTCATTCCCTTTATCTTCCCAATTAATGCTCAATCCTAGAGGCAGTGGGTGGAGCTGACACTGGGTGGAGCTTGAGTTTCCCTGCTGAGAGCCTCCTTTCTCATCTGGGAGTTTCAGTGCTCTATGAAGCTCATAGTTAGGCCCCCACACTGAGTCAGTAGTGACTGGTGCTCCCCCTGCCGGCGCCCGTTAGGATCGCTGTGACTTTCACAGCACCCTGGCTCCTTCCCGGGGACTCTTTGGCTCACATTCTCTCCGAGTCTGCCCCGTCAGAGGTCTTTAACAAGATACTGCGAACAGACTTTAAGATGAGGGAGAACCAAAGCAAGCCCGTGCAAACCTCCCTCCCTCCTCCCCATTGGGCCATTACAGCTCCGACTCCAGTCACAGCACCCCAGTGTTCCACTGCGACAGACATACTTCACCTTAGCTGAGCTTGGAAAGCATGCCATGGCAGAAGTTCAGTCAGAGACGCCAGCAGGTGCCCCAAGCGGGGCAGGCGTTCTTGGTCGTTAGCGGCACGCAGCTCCATGGGACATTTGAGATGGGACAAGGGTGGCTAAAAGATTAGATTCTACTTACTGCCTTAAGAAACACATTGCTCACTAAAGCACATTCATGCCATGGCCTCTGGAGTCGAAGGATGAGGAAGGCAGGACTTGGCTCCTGAATGGGGTCACTCATCTGTGGGTGTTCCCTGGGTACGCCCTGGGGTGTGAAATAATGAAGGCCACACCTACGTCCAGAGGAAGCCCATCAGGGGATGTGCAGGGGATAGGAGAACCATCAACACATCAGAGTAGTGGGAGATGGAGGGCAGGCTGTGGTCCCTGGGATCCTACCTGTAGAGCCTGGGGCAGGCCTACGCACAGGTGTGACCCAGCACCCTGGACAGAGTGAGGAGTGAACTTCACATACCTGAGGGAGAGCCCAGCCAAGGAGAATATTCATCAGACACTCATGGGGGCAAGCTGTGCAGGGCAGAACACACCAAGGAGGGCACAGACCCTGCCCTACAGGAACATCTAGGACCAAGATCCCTCTATCAGTGAACAGAACATAGTTTGAGACTGACAATCTTACATATGTCAGGGAGAGGGATGCTGTCAATCAAGATGGCATCCTCAGGGCTCTACAGAGAAACAGCAGGGACTACTGTGAAACCAGCTCCATCGCTGTTTGATGTGTCCCGCACTGGGGCCCATGGCACCTACCTTGCCTGCAATGTTCTGCAATGCCACTAGTGAAGTGACCTTATGTGGTTTTCTACTTAAATGTGGCTCTGGGCAGGACAACCATTGGTTAGCAGTTTCAGCACAAGGGTCACTTTCAGGTGGCTTCCAAGAACAGAGGGAAATAGGGGCTGGGCCACGTCATGGCTTTAGGAAAAGCAGGCCTTGGAGCATCTCTGTCTGTCCCGACACTGTCCTGTCTTTCAGTATCTGTTTTTGTAGCCTAGGTCTGAGGAATAGAAACCTGACTCCTATCCTGCCTCCTAGCAGATCCCACAAAGGAAGTTGCCCGGCGCACCATAGTATCTGAAGAAGAGGTGGACCAGGGGAGCGATGTCATCTTTGCGGCCACCTCAGAAGACACCCTCACTACAGAGATTTCAGCCATGGCCCCTGTACCCTGCTCATTACCGTGCAGAAGGGCTGCAGAGATAAAATGGCCACGGTTGGACTCGGGGTGATCTCTACCCACCTGGCTGTTACATAACTTCCACACTCTACATCTCTCTCCTTCTCGGGTCCAGCCTCCGCCCCGAGCTTGCCTTCCTTGTAGGATATACTGTCCAGCTGCCTCTGCCTTCCAAGGACCCTTGGAAGTTTTGTAGCTGTCATTTTAGGCATTTAGTCAAAGTAGAGCCTTCAAGCACTGGGGAAAACTATTCAGAAAGTGGATCTGAAGACAAGTTGACAGTAAAAAACATGATTGTAAGCAGCATGTCATTCAGTCAGGCAGTCCTGTCAGCATTGTGGGGACCACAGGAAAAGGCACAGCCCCACTGTGCCACTGACAACAGATAAGGAGGTCCCCTAGCCCTTGGGGACCTTGGCTCAAGCCAAACTGGGACCTGTGGCTTTGATTCAGAAAGGAATATCAAGACTCTATGAAGCAGAGTCCAGGCTTAGTGAAGTCTGAGGGTTAAGAGAAACGGATGACGTCAGAAGCAAGTGAGACACCAAAGAGCACAGTTGGGTGTCTGGGAGAATCTTTGTTGTCGTCTTACAATAGCTGTGTGGAGGACTTTGGTGGGGTTTGAAACTGCCATCACAAAAGGTGGCTGAGGATCTAAGTGGGAGTCCAGGGTGGTTCCCAAGGTTCCCCTGATAGGATTACAGTTGATAAGGTTAAAGTCTAGACCACAGGGATGCAGGAAGTGGGATATTTTCACTGTAAACAAAAGTAGCAGTCTGAGTCTCAGTAAATTTCCAGGAAGAGCAGAGAGGCCCTTCTCAAGGTCTTGAGCCCGCAGTTGTTACTTTAACATAAAGCACCTATGTAAGAAAGGGATGCAAGTTCTTGCTGGGAGCCTACACATCAAATGTTACTTGTGCTGGAATTCCCACTTCTCACCTGGAGAGGAGCTCCAGCCAGACTCCACAGCGAGGGTCTCTCTCCCAGTCCTGTGTCCCCATGATTTTCTCTTTCTATCTTGCCCAGTTTCCTCTTGTTCTTATGGTGGGAAAATACTGGTACCAACAAAGCAATCCAGTTCCATTAGAGTCCAACTTTCTTCACCATCTGAGAGACCCTCAGACCAGCACTTGCCTCTTTTTATATTTGCATTTTCATAAACATCTTGACATGCATTCTTAGGAGGACACTCCAAAGCAACCCCAAATGTATTGAGCTCTGCCTGGCAGTGCTGTGAGTGGGTACTCTCCTCTCCCACAGCTGAGTTTCCTTCTGCCCACCGCCTTGCAGCACAACCCACTTTCCCCTAGCTCTCCTCACTTCACACCGTGTATGTCGTGCAGGACACAAAAAAACAGTGACGGCTGTGAGGGAGATGGGAGTCTCATCTGGGAAATGTATCTGAAGGGAAACGGAAAGACAGACGACTTTCCATGGAGAGAGTTGGAATGAAATTGCTGTAACTGGAGTTGTCTCCTCGGTGTGGCAGGTGGCAGCTCCTGAGCTCACAGCCATAGGAGGCAGGCCTGCCTCTCATGACTTGCCTTAAAAGTAGGCTAAGGATTAGTGATGAGGCTTCTGGTCATGGAAAGGCATTGGGAATGCAGACAGGGCCAGCCATGGAGCACCAGTGAGGAAACAATCCTTAGAGAGGATTAAAATAGCAGAGGAAGCAAAGCACATGCCCACCTTCAGACTCTGGCCTTTCGAGTAGCTCATCCCCAGAGGGTCACTCACGCCTGATGCAGAGTATTAGAAATGGGCCTGGGGTCTGAAGTACCACACAGTCCAAATACTTCAAGGGAAAAAATTTTGCTGAAGGATACGTAGCCATATGAAGTCAAACAGGAAAACATTGTTCTTTCGACCCCGTGCACTCATTCTGAGTGCTCAGGGCTTGGTGTCACACACTTACGTGAGTGTTTGACTATAAGCAAAGTATTTTGTTCCTAGAAAAGTATTGACTGAGGAAGGGATTTTGGCTTATGGTGCTTGCAAAACCAATTTCTTAAAAAATGAAATTTCTTTGTACTCTGAAGCCTCTGATAGAAAAGGCAATACATTTTGTTTATATACCCATAATTTCCCCCCTTTCACAGTATATTTTCATTCTTTACATTCAATTAACATTGTCTAACTTTTCTGTTTGAAGTATGGAACATATATGATAAGATGTAGGAATTGCAATAGTTAATTGCCATTTAAATAGTTGTAGGATTACACAATATCCTGCTGTAGCCATGACTCCTAGTTCCACAACAAGGGAAGTCAAGGACACTTTCTATTTTTCAAACCATCGTTCCTTACGATTAGAAAGAGGGCCACTTATTCCTTAATTTTCAGATAACTCATAGGATAAAACAGTACCTGAAGAGCCCTCCAAGTGGTGCCCTGATGAGGAGCCGTTAATAGAAGCACAATGCTGACTGCCTCTCAGCACACGGTCTCCTGGTCTGCTAACGTCGCATGTAGTTAGTCTGTTTCCCGTGCCATTGGCCTTAGTTACTTTTCTATTGCTGTGATAACACACATGGCAAAGGCGATTTATGAAAGACGGCACTTAGTTGGCTTCAGTTTCAGAGGGTTAGAGTCCATGATGGAGGAACAAAGAACAGCTGAGAGCTCACGCCTTCATCCAAGACCACGGGGCAGAGAGACACGCTGGGGATGATGGGAATCTTCTGAAACTTCAGAGCCCACCCCTCTGACACACCTTCTCCAACAGGACCATCCTTCCCAAATCGTTCCCATCTGGGGACCAAGCATTCAAACATGAGCATATGGGGGCCATTCCCAATCAAACCCCATTATGCACCATTCATCCAACTGGAGACATCCACTGATCTGATAGAGTTCCTAATGCAATTGACAGTTCTTCGTTGGTTGGGCTCTACATTTTCAGTTATGGTGGACTACTAATTAAATTCTGCTGCTGTTTGGTTCTTAGCTTTAAACTCACCAGGGCTTCCACTCAGCACTCTGATGGAATCTGGATAAACAAAGTCACATGACTCTCCTGGAATCAGAAGCTCCCTTTTTCAATGAGACAGCTGAGGTTGGCCTGGCTAGGCTGATAATGTGCACTTGTGAGAGTGCTAGCCAGCTGAACCAAAGCACAGGTCCCATCCAATTGCCTATAATATTTAGAGTAATGGTTCCCCCAGTACCACCCACCCTCACTCTGACAGTGCTTTGGCTAGAGTGGTGTCCTGTCTCCTCAGAGGCACACAGGCTGTGACATCCAGCCTTGCCTTCCAAGAATTGCAGCTCTTGTCTCCACCTTTCCAGGCAGGAAGTGGAACTGGTTTTGAGCAAGGGGATTCTAATTGCTCTAAGGGGCAAAAGGTGTCTTTGCCTCTGTCCCACAAGCCTGACACTCTTATTTAATGCACAAACATGTTTGATCTGTTCCAGCCATGCCTTCATTTGCCTGTGCCATTTCAACCTATACAACGAAGTCTCTTCAAATTTTAACTTCTACCGCTTGTCCTGTTTTGTCATATCTAGGAACCTCTGGTTTTTAAAATGTTTACAGGATGAGACTAGATATGCTTCAGACTGAATAGTTAGTGCAGAGGGTTTTTTTCCATTTATTTATTTATTTTTGGTTTTTCGAGACAGGGTTTTGCTGTATTGCTTTGGAGGCTGTCCTGGAACTCTCTCTGTAGACCAGGCTTGCCTTGAACTCACAGAGATCAATCTGCTTCTGCCTCTGCCTCCCAAGTGCTGGGATTAAAGGCGTAAGCCACTAATGCCCAGTGTTTTTTTCCTTTTTTTAAAGTGATGTTATCACTAAAGTTTCCCCTAACAAATAAATTAAAGCAGTTATTTTTAAATCCTAATTTCAAAGTGTCTCCTTGATGTAATATTGTCTATTTTCTCTGCGTCTTATTGTCAGCACCTTTTTTTTTTTTTTGGTGTATGTGTGGGCACATGTGTGTGTAATGTATCTGAACTCTTCCAGCTGTCTGAACGTTGGCGTTGCTGATTTACAGCCCCTCCCAGCTCCACTTCAATTAGCTCTCCTTCCAGCATTTTACTAACATTTGGTCCCTGGGCTGGAAAGAATGGGCTGGCAATTGGAGCATGGGGAGAAGGCCTGCACCCCAAAAGAGAGGGAGTAAATGGGAGACCACACAGAACTGATTTAGTTTCCGTGATGGAAAGGTTGATGGCCCTCTCCAGGCATGCAGTCAATACAGCATTTCATAGACAGCATCTTCCCCGCCCCCAGACAGGGTTTCTCTGTGCAGCTCTAGAGCCTGCCCTGGCACTCGCTCTGTACACCAGGCTGGCCTTGAACTCAATAGATCCGCCTGCCTCTGCCTCCTGAGTGCTGGGATTAAAGGTGTGCGCCACCACCTCTACTACCAGGCCACAGATGGTGTCTCAGGCACTGTTCTACTGCTGTGAAGGGACACCATGACCAAGACAACTTTTATAAAAGAAAGTTTCGGGCTGGTTTACAGTTTTGGAGGTTTAGTCTATTGTCATCATGCTAGAGAACATGGTGGTAGGCAGGCATGGTACCGGAGAAGTAGCTAAGAGCTACACCCTGATCCGTAAGCAGACAGAGAGAGGAGGAGGGGGGAGGGAGAGGAAAGGGAAGGGGAGGGTGAAGGATGAGTAATGGAGGGGGAGTTAGTATTCAGGCATCTGTACTGGCCAGCCCTTGGGGTTCTGACAGGATTCTCCCTCAGCTGCAGCCACTAAGAGCACCACCTGTGCACATTCACTACATTCCCTTTTTAAAAGAGCCCTGTCCACCTCCTCTCTTCCTCTCTTCTTCTGACTGTCTCCCTCTCTCTCCCTCTTTCTCTCTCTCCATGCCTCTTCTCTTCTGCTGCTCCTGCCCCAGAGGCCAGTCTCTGCTCTTCCTTCCCCACTTTCCCCTAATAAAAACCCCTCCACAGATGCCCTCTGTCACATGGCACCTTTCTCTCAAGCATTGCATTTTAAAATTACAACAGGAGGCAGGGAGGAAGGGAGAGAGGGAGAGGGATAGAGGGACAGAGGGAGGGTGGGAGAGAGAGAACTGGGCCTGGCAGAGGCTTTTGAAACCTCAAACCTCCCCACCCCCAGTGACACACTTCCTCTAACAAGGCCACACCTCCCAATCCTTCCAAATCTTCCAAACTACCTGGTGACAAAGCATTTAAATATATGAGCCATTCTTACTGAAACCAACACAAACAGGAAGGTCAGTGGCCCTTTCCAGGCATGCCAATTACATACAGCATTTCAGAGGGGAACAGCCCTATGTCCTCTTGGGGGACAGTGAGGGTTCTAAACTGTGTTAAAGGCGAATATCTAATCGGCTGCCTCCTTTGGACTTTGCCTGAGGAGGGAGGGTGCCAAGGAGTATGATGATTGACTCCAGTTTACTGTGTAAACTTTGGAGATGACGTGGGCCCCATTTCCTTAATCTGTATTTTCTATTAAGCCAACCATAGCACAACTGGTTCTAAGATAACCACAGTCACATTACCAACAGCAGCATCTGGGAGGGGCAGCCTCTCTCCACCCAAGGAGGTGGTTCACTATCACCAGTAAATGGTGCACATTTTCTACCTTTGGTATTTTTGTCAAGCCCGCCTGGATGCTTTGCAAGGCTCCTGTAGCAAACTTTCTTTTCTTTTCTTTTTCTTTTTAAGATTTATTTGTTACATATATAGTGTTCTGTCTACATGCCAGAAGAGGGCACCAGATTGAATTGCAGATGGCTGTGAGCCACCATGTGCTTGCTGGGAATTGAACTCAGGACCTCTGGAAGAACAGTCAGTGCTCTTAACCTCTGAGCCATCTCTCCAGCCCCCTGTAGCAAACTTTCCTAAATATAGTTGGACTTTCTTTTGTGGGACTGCCGGCTTCCCAATAATGACACAGAGACTTTAATATGAAAGCTTGGCCTTTAGCTTAGGCTCGTTTACAACTAGCTCTTATAACATTCACCCCATATTTTTTATGGCAAGTCGGACTTGCTCTGAGTATGCTGGTGAAATCTGAGCCTAGATTCCTCCTCCTCTTCCTCTCTACCCCTGGAAATCCTGCCTAGCTACTGGCCATTCAGCTCTTTATTAAACCAATCAGAAGCTGCCTTGGCAAAGACATATCATAGCGTACAAAAAGATTATCCCACCACAGGTTGAAGGTCAGGAGGCCAATCACCTGAGGTTTGTTTTCTTATTGACCATCCTACATAGCCACCTTTTTAGCAAATCCACACACAGTGAAAACTTTTGTGCACAACACACATAGCCTGAGGGTCCCCAGTGACCTTCTCACAAGGTGAGTAGAGGGAGTGCGATTAGCTACTTTTCTGTTGCTGTCATAAAACATCATGACCAGGACACATTATAGAAATAAGTGTTTGTTTGGCTTACAATTCCAGAGGGCTGGGGACAGAATGGTGGCAGGTAGGATGCGTGGTGGTGGTAGCAGGAAGCTGGAAGCTGTCATCATTTACCATTAGCATGAAGCAAAGAGAGTGGAGGTACCAGCAGGCAAGGCTTCTTCCCTACGCTCTCAGGGGTATACTTTCTCCAGCAAAGCTACACCACCCCAAATGATGTCATCAACTAGGGACCAAGTATTCAAATGCCTGAGACCATGGGGCATTTCTCATTTATGCTACAACTGGTTATGGGCAAATCTCTGGAGATGGTGTGGCTTCTCTGGGCAAGGGGAAAGATGACTTATCAGAGAAGTCTGCTGTTCTCGGGGGTCCCTGTTGGTCTTGGAAGGCAAAGGCCAAAGTGTTGGCTGTCCTCTTTCAGCTGTCCTATCCTCGTTGGTGTAGGCTTCCAGGGTTCGGTACTGAATACCCAGTTATATAATGGGCTCTTGGCCCTTGGTTGGCTCCTCTCCTTGGGTCTCTTTTGGTTCACTTGTTCCCTCCCTTTCCTCTCCCCTCCCCCATACACACATGCCCTCTGACCTCTCTGGGTCTGGTTCAATCTGCAGGCAGTGTTTTGCCTGGATCCTCCCAGATGCCTCTGCTGTGCTCCCCTTTTGTCTACAATAAACCAACCACTGTACCTGGGAGCCACCACACACTCATGATGTGTTTCTTTTTTTCATTTGGTAATGACTAGTAAGCCGAGAGCCTAAGGAACTTCAGGAAAGGGTGGGAAGCTGTGAGTTGCGCAGGTGGACGTTGCCCACACATGGCCTTTGCAATTGCAGATAGAGTGCTTTCCTTAGTTGTTTCTGGTGAATTGTTAAACCCGAGGAGATGGGGGAGCTGCTAGGTGCAAACCTAGGCTAGAGTTTTGGGACAGGGGTCTTAGCATTTCTATGGACATGGTGCTGGAGAAGGAGTTGAGAGTTCTAATCTTGATCCACAAACAGCAGAAGCAACTATGAATCTCACTGGACATAACTTGAACATATAAGAAACCCACCTCCATAGTGACACACTTCCTCCAACGAGGGTACACCTCCTAATAGTACCTAACTTACAGGCTGCAGTCCAACAATGGCTAGCTGTGAATGGAAAGTCCAAGAGTCTAGGAGTTACTCAATCTTGCGAGGTTGGGTATGTGCTGGAATCCTGAAGTAGGCTCAGTGCCAGTGAAGGGATGGATGTGCTGGCAAGGCAAGGGCAGGCAGGCAAAGAGCCTCTGTTCTTCCATTTTCATTATAGAGGCTCTCTGCAGAAGGTGTGGCCAGGATTAGAGGTGTGCCTTCCCACCTCAAGAT